ACTTCAACTTTTCTTTGTGGGTCAGTTGAACAAGTCTGTACAAACTAATGAAGAAAAATAATCAAATCACACAGGCCCAGGTTCAGACATGCAGTTTGGCTATTTTAATCAGGGATCTGAAATATAAAGAGTATCTGCACAAGCAGAACAAATTATAACATACCATTGGTATGATATTCTTAAAGGATGGGCCCCTCTTGGTCTTCAACTTTAAAAATTGTTACACCCAATTATTCTTTTCTTTATTCTGATACGTTTAATTGTAATCTGTGGTATGTTCTGTTGGATGCTGAAACCACCAGCTCAGATCGTTTCAAAAAAATTATACAGCCTTGAGAAAATTACATAAAGTGTGACCCATTCAGTACCTCTGGATTGAAGGGTCATTTGTGGGTCAATGTAGAGCTGAAGTTATGAAATTGTTTCTTTTCTTTAATTACTATTATTAATATGACTTTATTTTGTATCAAATGAACAAACCAACTTAACTGTTCTAACATTGTAACTCTTGTTTGCCTCCCAACACTCTAAATTGTTCATTACACTTGTTTTAATAAGATTCCATATTGTAACTAAAACCCCATTTTAAAATGCTCACTCCATTTTGCAAAACCCTGCTGTAACCTCATTAACTTAGTTCAGGTGTGTGAATGAGGTATGCATGGATAATGGAATCAGCCTCCAGCCGCAGCCTGTCCTGATAAAGTTAAGTGCAAACACCAACGGCTGAAGATGCAGACGACAGCCCTGACAAAGTAAGAAGAGTCCACCTCAAAAGAAAAGAAGAAAGGTACAATTGAAGCAAGATCAAAGACAGGTCCAACTGACAAGTGATCAATCACACCGAACCCAGAGGCAGCGTGACACAGCAAGACCTATAGACTCTTGATTCAAACTAAAAGCCTATAATAAAGGATGGGTGGTATGGAAGACTGTGGGTAACATTCTGCTGCCAACATTGAGTGGCATCTGTGCGTGCCCGACAGAGACCCAGCCCTTCCTCATGCCCAGCTTTCCTGGCCAGTTAGCTGCCACGAGCTACGAACCAAAGCTGCAAAATCAGGCCACGTACTCAAGCTACGTTCAGGACTGGTAACTATCCAGCAGCTGCAGAACATTTGAATTGTGTGTGTGTGTAAGTATTTGGTATTAGCTATTGGTTATAGATCAAATTGTGTTATCCTAATAAATGTGGCATCCTGCCTTGTCCCCTGAAACGATCCTGTGTAGCTTTATCTGTATAACATTTTATCTGTCCCTCCCCTGTTAACTCAAGAGTAAATAGTCCAGCTACAATTCTGATTTCAGCAGCAGATATTTTCACCCATCTGGATCTATCACCTGGTGTTAGATAGAAGTTGCTGTGCCTCCCACCTCTCTTGTGTGGTGTAGTGGACAAAAGAGATAGAGAAATGACTTTTGCAAACAAACAACAGATTTATTTAAGGGAAGTAACATCGGGAAAAGGAAAAAAGCATGAACTATAAAAAATGTAGGCCCTAAATAACTGGAACCTTGACTGTCTCTATAACGAACAGCCCCCGAGCAATGGGTGCTCCCACCGTTTTTTTTCAAGACGCATGTGCCAAAGTTCTGAGGTAAGTAGCTCTCTAGGAGACCATTGTAACTGGTTCCAAATGTCTGTTGGCCTCTTTATGGAACTTTGGACGGAAAGAAACTTCACTCATTTTTGGAGACAATCTACCATTGTGCTTTATACAGACTTCCACTTCTGTCACTGTTACACACACTTCAGGAGCAAAGAGGTATCACCAACAAAATGACACTCAGAACTGTGGTACTCAATGTCACCTCATTGCTCTCTCATTTAATTTGAGACATTTTTCTTCCGCCTTTTGTCTTCACTGTTAAAACTTCACTTGTCTTGTGTTGTTTTCATTAGTTTTATTAGCAGTGAGACAAAGGGCTATGTCTGCATAATGGGGATACCAGATATATTAGACACACCTGGCCTTGTCTATTCTTCAGTGGGTGATAATGTCAGATCTTCTCGTTCTCAGTATGCTAAGCTGAGCTGAAGTGTCTGTCTTCCCATCATCTGGATTGCTGGGACAATCACTTCTCAGTCTTTGTACCTCAGGTGTTTCCAGTTGTTCTTGTAGGCTGTCATTGTCCCCCTTTTCTTTCTTCCTCCCACTTTCTGGAAGGCTCTTTTGCTGTGACCTGGGTCAAACAGCACCCACTGTGTAGAGGTATCTGATCTTGGTCAAACAGTCCCCATTGTATAGCACTATCATTCAGAGGTTTCTATTGCACACAGTTCCTGGGGTAATCTTTGTGTGTTTGTGCGTTCCTTCAATAAGCCACTAACATTGTCTGGCCTCATCCAGCAGAGCACATTTGAAATACAGAGACATGGTCAATATTTCTAGCCTCAGATACAAACATTACATGCATACAGGTTGGATAAACACAGTAAATAGGTCTTAAGTTTTGCAATGATACCCCACATCAGCCATCTTGCATAAAGTATATATTAGCTATGTCATAAGCATATTTTCATAAAGAATGTAGAGTATAATGTCACATCCCACATGTATGTTTGCTGATCTGCAAATACTAAAGGAGTATGCACCTTTGGGTGAAAACGCTCATGACAATAGTGCAGAGCCATGCAAGCTTCATGATTCTGTGTGAGATGGCAGGCAGTGAGGAGGGCCAGGCAGGTTTGTGGGTTTAGGGAAAAAAAGGTGTAAACATTATGTATACGTTTATATATGGGACACATATAAAATTAGTGGATGGTTAGCAACGCATTCTAAGAAGTTTGATCCCATGACCACAACCACTCCTGTCTAACCTGTTTGGTACCCAGCAAACACTGCAAAACCAAAGCTTCCCAAAATACGGTGGGTGGACAGTGGGATATCTATTCATAGTGCACCTCACCCTGAATCTATACAAGTGCTTCTGGTGAGTACCCTGACTGCTGAGGCAAGGAGTCCAGGAGGCACGCACACAAGTGACACAGTAACCATAGTGACTCTATGCTGACATAACTTGAGTTAACCCACACTTAAAGTGTAGATATGGCCTTTGGTATATGAAATGTTTGGGAGAGGTAACAGGAACAGTATGAAGGTAGACTAAGATTCATTCAGGTGTTTAGGCTCAAGGGATTGGAACTCACCTTACTGCACCCTACGGGCTCAGGAACAAAGAGGAACCAAAAAAAGAGAGTATGGCGGGGCGGTAGCCATGTTAGTCTGTATCCACAAAAACAACAAGGAGTCCAGTGGCACCTTAAAGACTAACAGATTTATTTGAGCATAAGTGGACTTTCACTCCATGCGTCCGAAGAAGTGAGGTTTTTACCCACAAAAGCTTATGCTCAAATCTGTTATATAAAAATTTCTTGACTGGAAGGTGTATAACTCATGAATTTAGAATTCTTGTGATTGTAAAGGTATCTTGGGGTTGTAGATGTGTGTTCATTATATTTTGAAAGGAAAAGCTATGAATGGGTTGAACAAAGAATTAGATCAGTCCCTCAGGATAAGTAGATTGGCTATTAGCCAAGATAATTGTCACGGAGTCCCCAGGCGATGCTCTGGAACTGCTCCCTATGAAGCCAGTCAGGACTCTGGTGAAGACTCCTCTCTGTGAGCAGACTGTCTTCAGGGCAAGAAGCCCACACGGCTTCCACCTTCCTGGGTCTGACCTTGGAGCATTCAGCATCCTCTGCCCTGCTGTGTGCTTCCCACAGCAAGTCTGCCCAGGCAGTGTGCTGGGGAAGCCAGAGGGTCCTGCACCCCAACTTCGCAGTCAGACATGACTCTCAGCCAGCCAGTAAAACAGAGGTTTATTAGATGACAGGAACACGGTCTAAAACAGAGCTTGTAGGTACAGAAAACAGGACCCTTCAGCCGGGTCCATTTTGGGGGGCAGTGAGCCGGACAACCACATCTGCACTTCACTCCACGTCACCAGCCAGTCCCAATCTGACTCACTCTCCAGCCCCTCCTTCTCTGGGCTTTGTCCCTTTCCCGGGCCAGGAGGTCACTTGATTCCTTTGTTCTCCAACCCCTTTAGCTATCACCTTGCAGGAGGGAAGGGCCCAGGCCATCAGTTGCCAGGAGACAAGAGTGTCAGCCATTTACGTACACTGGCCCTTTGCTCTGGAACAATTACAACCCCTTATCCCACTACCTAGAGACTTAAATGCATAGGGAGTTGTGGAAAACGAGTCACACTCTGTTTGGTTCAAACAGTCTGAGGCCTTTTATTGAGTACAAGCATGCAGGGAGAGAAAGTCAGAGACAGTCACGCGCAGGTGCCAGCCTGATTTCTCTGTGCCCTGCCCCTATAACACCAGCCTTATATAGGTCCATGTTCAAGCTGAACCAATTAGTAATTTTCCCACCACTCAAGCATTAATAAAGCCTTATAAGGAAAATAGAAAAACTGCTTAATAATTAGCACAGTGCTGATGCACCTTGTCATTATCAAGATCTGCGGTTTGCTGCGGCAGCATTTTGACTAGGGACTTTTTGCAGGGTGGAGGGTGCATACAAGGGACAGCTAGGGACTTTTTGGAGGCCTTTTGGTTCTTATTTAGCTAGAAATTGGCCTAGTCCATTATTTGTGTCAAGTGCCACAGCCTAGCATACATCAGTGCTTTAGCTCAAGCCAAGTCTTACAGGATACAAGCCTGTAGGCCTCTTGCATTACAACCCTTGTATATAATGCATAGATGGAGCCGCAGAAAGGGGAGGGGGTTAGGTCTACAGCAATTACTCCCACAGCAATTGCTCCCACACGGGGAAACTGAGGCACCCCTACAGTATTCAGAGGAAACATTAAGAACATTCCCACTTAGTCACAATAATCAGGGATGCAGGCCCATGCTCTGCATGTCCCTAAACCGTCCTTTGACTGCCAAATGCTGGGAGCGGACAATAGGATGGTTCAATGAGTCATTGCCTGGTCTGATCATTCCCTTAGAAGCACCTGGCATTCAGTTCAAACACAGCACTGGGTTGGTTTACATTCAAAGTAAAGCAAGTTTATTAAACAAAAGTCACAGGTTAAGCAACACCCAATAGAAGGAATAAAGCTAGAAAGGGTTACAAACAAACAAAAGTGAAATACACTTTCTAGTGGCTAAGGCTTAACTCAGCAAGCTAAAGCCTTGGTTCAAGGTCGATTTCTTACCAGTCTTTTTCTTTCCAGCCAACTCTCTCTCTGTCAGAGACTTCCTCAAGAAATATAAGGTGCAGGTTTCCCTTGTCTTCCTAGGTGAAAGATCATTGCCTAAGCAAGTTTCTCACCGATGTTCTGTTCCCAGAGAGACTTCAACCCCCTTGGCTGAAGGGCCCAACTTTCTCAGCTTGCAAGAGCTCTACTCCTTTGTGTCTGTCCAGTGATGGATAACTTAGGGGGTTCTCTACCCCAGCCTTTAGAGTCCAGTAAAGCTTTGACAAGCCTCTCTCCCAAAGTTCATTGACCTTGCTTCAAGAGGCAGTCAGTCTTCAGCCATTTATCAGCTGAAGGGGAGAGTTCAAGCTTTTTTTGGGGGGGGGGGGGGGGGGGAAGAAGAGACATTGTCGGTGAAAGAGGAGCCAGAATTGGGAGAGAGCTAGCTGAATGAGGACTATGGCTGTAGAAGGTTGTTGCATCAGGTATCACTAGAGCAGTAGCTTCTGTTTGGGCACATAGGACTTACTATAGGGCTTTTGAAAATGCCAAGGATATGCCATAAACTTAACCATCTCCCTGTCCTGCACCTTTGATCTCTGCTCCCAGGTGGCCATTCAGAGTTCTTAGGGGTCACCTACACCAGCTTTCTGACAAAAGCCCAGAGAAATTAAAAGTCACTCTGATTTTGCCTGCATGAGCTTCTGAAGGTGTTGACCATAATGGATAAGAAACAGGAACCATGAAAAATATATATCTCTGAGGAACCATCCCTGAGGGCTCTCCTAGGCCTGGAGAATTCTTGTGCATTCACAGAAACTATGGCAAGAGATACAAACTCTAAAGGACAGCATTATTTCTTGGTTCATGATCTTTACTGGACTCAACAAAACTGACACAGAAACGTACAGCCGGGACAAACAAATGCTGGAGATGTAATATGGAAAATGCCGGCTTAGTTGCTGTGGAATTGCGTAAAACTACAAGACTTTTATAAATACACAAACAACAGTGACTGAGCTGTTGTAACAGAGTGACAATTCCCCTCTGGATCTGAGGATGGTTCTTGAGTCTCCCTCCTGCATGTAGGGAGACTGAAAAGGGAGGTTACCAGATCTTTCATGATCCCACACTTGGGCCCTGATCTGCATCCTCCCTCCCACTCCCTCCCCCCACAAACCAGCTATCCCTTCTGAGGTCAGACCAAGCATGGAGCAAATCCAGCTCCTACTCCTGAGCCTCTCACACTCAGGCAGGAGTGCTGGGCCTGACAATCTCTACTCAGCCCTGTACCACAGATGCTGAAATATGTTGCTGGGATCCCCCTTAAAAGCCTGCTTCCTCAGCTAGTGAGAGGGCAGCCAGTTCAGAGCCTTGCTCGTTCCGTGGCTCCCACTCACCAGCCCTACCATATCTCTATGACCAGATCAGGTTTTGTGTCTTTCACAGCATCCAGCTCCGCCTGGGTTTCCTCAGTTACACTCTGATAGCCCAAGCTGTGGGGAAAACAGGGAAGGAAAAGGACGTGTTAATTCTCTCTGCAGACACAACACCTGAGCCCACAGCCCCTATAAAGCACCATGAGCTGCACCCACAGGATCTGTGTCGCTGCCTCTGCCTTACCTGCTGATCTCACTGCCAGCAGGTGCCCTTCCTAGACTATCAGGGTGGGAAGGGACCTCAGCAGGTCATCTAGTCCAACCCCCTGCTCAAAGCAGGGCCTATCCCCAATTTTTGCCCCAGATCCCTAAATGAGGCCCCCTCAAGGACTGAACTCACAACCCTGGGTTTAGTAGGCCAATGCTGAAACCACTGAGCTACCCCTGCCTCCTTTTCTGTTGGGAGAGGGGAGAAGTACTGGTGCAGTCTGTAGCCTGGCCAGCCGGCTCCCCCCACTCCCACTCATGCTGTGAGCTCTGGGCAGGGACAGCAATGTCCTTTCTGCCTGTATGGGGCTGGATTGTGCAGCCCTTGCTCAGGGCGGGGAGCAGTTATGGACACGGACAGTCCCATTGATCATTGCGGGGCTACTCAGCGCACACAGGGAGCAGGGGCTGCAAAATCCAGCTCACAGAATCTCCCCATGGAAGCAGCGTGATCTCAGCTGTCATTGCTGCATGAGCTCCCCACAGGGCTTCAGTAACGTCGTTCTTGAAGGGGTTGAGTTTGCAGCAGCTGTTGTGGGGCTGCAGATGGCTTTAAGTGCTTTGTCACCTACATGATTACTTGGATTGTCTTGAACATTATTGTGTGTCATGGGGGGGGGGGCGCAGGGAGGGGCTAGGGGTTCAAATCTGGGGTCATCTGAGAAAAAAGTTCTTGACATACAAGCCCCCCCGCAAAAAGTCATGGGATAGAAGAATCAGACATTTTTTATGACTTTTTTGCCCACAGCGGTGGCTCAAACTATGGCTCTGACCCTCCCCAAATCTATAGCAATTTCTCTCAGATAGCACAGCCCACCCACTGCCCCTTTGGGAAGCAATATTTAAGAAGTTATTCAAGATACAGTTTGGAACCTCAACATGGGTCAGCCCAAAGTGACTCTCCGAAGAGAGTGTAATACACCTGTGGCAAGTGTAGGGCTCGACTGCTAAGCAGATTTGGTGGAGCATATTCTGCCCATCTTGCCCTTTATATAGGCCCTCCATACCCTGCACACCCCCTCAGTTGAGGCAGAGTTGGGGGGCACACAGTTGGCTATATCTGCTTTGCCCCACCAAAGGATTACCCTGTGTCAGCGGAATCCGTGGCTGCTGTGTTAAGGTAGCTGCCCAGCATAAAAGGGGTCAAGGGTTGAACTCGACTACATTATTCAATTGTTTAACTAGCAAAATGTGACCAGTGAATACATCAGTGGGTCTCTGTTCTTTGTCTCAGGAGCAAAGAGGGCTGGTCCATGGCTGGGTTCCATGCAGGGTATTGTGATCCTGGTAAATGGAGTATAACTCACAACACCACCGTGTTAACCAGCTGGTACTTACCTTATTTTGTGTAGTTTGCAGTTGGGATGTTTCAGTCCCTGACACAGCAGCTGCACGCCTGTATCTCCCAGTTTGTTTCTCCCTATATCTAGCTCGGTCAGGTGCTGGTTCATGCTTAGCGCAGAGGAGAGACCACCACAACAAGCAGCAGTTAGACTGCAATGCTCCAACCTGCAGCAGACAGATACAGAAAGGAAAAGACTACTTGTTTAAAACACCTGTGTTTCTCCTCCTTGACATCAGTGTCTCTCTCTCAAGAGACTGAGAAAAATCCGCTATTTCTATTTAAATCATCAGCAAAATACTCCTATAAAAAGTTCAAAGCTCCTAAGGCAGAATCAACACTACAGCAAAACCCCAGCAACATTAAAATAAATATTCAAAAGGGAACTCAGCCAGCCAGCCACACACACAAAAAAATCTCTTTCCTATCCCTTCGTTGCTCTGGGAGGCATCCCTCAGCAAACCCAAAACCCTGATCCAACAAGAGTCTTTTACAACATGCCCAAGTGGTCCCCAGATTCAGGCTATTTTGTGCCAAGGAGGGAAGTAAGTTCCAGAGCACCCTGACAGCTGGCCCCTCTCCTTTATAACCAGGAGGATCCAACTGAGATGCCCCTGCTGACTGCAGCTGTGGCAGTAGTGTGGGAAGAAGTAATCCAATAGGCCAGTTAGATCTTTATAGCTCATAACCAACACCTTAAACTCCACCCAGAGACCAGCTGTCAGCCACTGCGGATTCCAGACCACTGGATCATGTGCTCACTGTGAGATGCCTCGCTCAGTAAGCAAGTCATTGTGTCTGCACCAGCTTTGCTCTCTGAATGGTTTGAAGTGTAGCCCGCTGCTACTCAGAATGCTTTGGTAATGAGTGGATTCCTTTCCACGTGCCCAGTTATACCAGTTACCCTGTATTCCACGAAGGGATGGTCAGCCAAGAATGGAGCAGGGTGGATAGGATGTAGATGCATTTCCAGTGGGGTGGGGAATACCTCACTACACAGAAGGAAATGCCTGGGAAATAGGTCACAAGCTCATTCATTGCCAGCACTCTGTTTCCCTGCAGGTTAAGCAAATGAAAACCACTACTGCTGTGTAAACTGGCCTGGCTTTCTCAGAAAGTAACCCAGTGCCTCAGACTGTGAAGCCCAGCTTGGGAGAGCAGGGACCCTCACACCACACAAAACTACCCCCTTGGGCTACTGTGAGGGACCTAGGTAACAATTTAGAACCAAAGCCAAATGGCTCTTTAATATCTCATGGACAATATTGCTGTGACTGTGTTGGTCCAAGGATATGAGACACACAAGGTGGGTGAGGTAATGTCTTTTAATCGGACCAACTTCTGTTGGTGAGTGAGACAAGCTTTCAAGTTTACTCAGAGCTGAAGAAAAGCTCTGTGTAGCTCAAAATCTTGCCTCTTCCTCTGCAACAGAAATTGGTCTGAAAAAAGATATTACCTCACCCACCTTGTGTTTTAAATATCTTGAGTAGATTGCCTTTGCCTTCAGGGTCACTTGACCCATGTTGCAATTTGAAAGAATAAACCAGGTCTGGGTAATTTTTATGGATTTTATATAAAAGATTAAAAAAAAAAACAATGAACATACATATCACTGACTAACTTTCTACAATTCCACTAAACTAATTAAGAATGGAACACCACAATGATCAAAATCAAGGTCACAACAGAGGTTGATTCACTAGATGAATTAGTTAAAATTATCAAATCAAGGTAGCAAGTAAGCAGACCAAACTAGGCAGCTGACACAAGAAAGAATTTCTTTTGTTGATCCTGCATTAGGAGAATTAAGGAGGAGCCGTCTTCCCTGTAATCTAAAGCCCCAGCCAGCGTTCCAGACAGCAAGACATGAGTGTCCATTCTGGTCTGAGGCCCTTGCCAAGTGAGATCACCCAAAGAGTGATTTCTTTGCAAGTCACCACTTTCATACTTCCCTCTTAAATCCCTGTGTTGTTACAAGCTATTTTCTATATTCCCACTTCCCTCCACCTTTCACATAGTAAATAGCACAGAATCTTTTGAAAAAGCCTAAACCCAGCAGTGATTCATAGAATCCCAGGGTTGGAAGCGACTTCAGGAGGTCATCTAGTCCAACCCCCTGCTCAAAGCAGGACCAATCCCCAATTTTTGCCCCAGATCCCAAATGGCCCCCTCAAGGATTGAACTCGCAACCCTGGGTTTAGCAGGCCAATGTTCAAATCACTGAACTATCCCTCCCCTGCATTGTTAAATCACACACAATAGCAGCTTTTGGAACACCACTCAGGAGAACATCAGTAATTATAGAGGACAGACATGGACATTTGGTGTTCCCTCCTAGGGAGCTATTAATGCTGCCACTCTGCCTCCAACACTCCCACACACGGTGGTGGAGCCAGGAGGCATCCCTCATAGAGGACAAAGATAAAAAGAAAAGGGTCAACCTCCTTCTGCTTTGTTTTTTAGGATCTTTACCTCAGGTGATGGTTGTTTACTGGAACCAAGTGATGGAATCACATGGTGAGAGCTCCTACCGCCAGTGGGGTCTTTCAGGCAGTAGCAGACTGCTCAGGCTGGCACAGCTAATTACCAGAATCTTTCACCTCTTCTTCCTCTGGACAGCCCAGCCAGGGAAGAGAAGGGAACTTTGCTTCAGATGTTGCTGGTGAACCAAGAGAGCTCCCTTCTCTTCCACATGGACTTGTTACAGAGCAATGACTGCAACACCCTAGTCACTGAAGATGGTGCAGTACAACGAAGGCTGCCAGCTTAATAGGAGCCAATCAACCTATTTCCATTGGGGATTCCTGACACTTGGTGATAATTGCTGGGCTAATGAGACAATTGGCTCAGTAACTGGGAGGAACAGGAAGCTGGGTGGAGGAGAGAAGCTGTGGGGCAGGCTTCCCCTGGTGTATAACTGTGCTCTGCCCTGCCCTGTCTGAAAATAGAGGATTAAAAGGTACATGATGGAAAGGTAACAAACAATGTGTTTGTAATGGAGAGGCTGTGAAAACTGGCTAGGCAGTGCTGCACACTGGATAGTTGGAGAAGCGCCTTGTGACAGGCCTTTACCGTGATAGGTGTCATTTCATGCTTCCTCCATCTCAGGAACCATCTTTGTAGCTTTGGGCCAATTAGTTGGTCCATGCGTTCTGGATGCACTTGATGTGGCCCAATTCTTCTGCAGCACATAATCTTTAGGCCTTTAATTCTCTATCATCTACCCAGTGACGGGAGAAGAAGAGCATCCGTCTGTTCCATTAAAGCAGCATCAATTCCATATCCTAGCCTGAATCCAGACTGTGCTGGGTCTGGAATGGTGGCTTCAGTCAGGTGGAGCTTGTAGTTGGCCTTTTCTTAGCTTCTCTTTGAACTTGCTCAGGAATGGGAGGTTTGACACTGGTCAGTTGTTGGCTAGAGCAGAAGTTCCAGGGTGAGCTAACGGGACCTACAGTGCTGTCAACCTTGGTGAGAGCTGCTGCCTAGGGAGAGGGGCAGGCTGAGGAAGAGTTGGGTGAAGGACAAAGCACCCTGGCTGCTCCCATAGACAGTCCCCAGCTAATGATATTTCTACTGAATTTCTTCATCCTTTCCTGCTTCCCTTTTTCCTCTTTCTGAGGTAGTTAGGTTTGTCCCAGGATTCATTTATTACAATGAAGGCAAAGGATTTGAATGACAGAGGGTTATTCTAGTCAAATTGTGAAATCTCCTACACTGTGTTTTCATTCACACACAGTGAGTAAATTAGTCAAAGGGTCTTCAGTAAAATACACTGCATTTATGGTGCATGTAGAGTGGCTGTGTGATCTAATTTCTCATCTAATACAAGGTGATAAATCTACATAGCAGTGGGTCTCTTTCTGACACCTTGGGAAGACAGTAGGCGTTTAAGGGTTGTTGATGCATTCATTAGTGCTGGGATTCATAGAATATCAGGGTTCGAAGGGACCTTAGGAGGTCATCTTCTAGTCCAACCCGCTGCTCAAAGTAGGGCCAATCCCCAATTTTTGCCCCAATTCCTAAATGGCCCCCTCAAGGATTGAACTCACAACCCTGGGTTTAGCAGGCCAAGGCTCAAACCACTGAGCTATCTCTCCCCCCTCTAGTAGAAAGAGCTGAAATCACAATAGTACAATATCAATAGGCACAGAGGAACCAGCTGCTACTTACCCTAGTTTCTGCAGTTTGCAGTTTGGATGTTTCACTCCCTCACACAGCAGCTGCACTCCGGAATCTCCAGGTTCGTTATACCCCAGTTCCAGTTCTGTCAAGTACTGGCTAGTGCTGAGAGCGGAGGAGAGATCCCCACAACAATCAGCTGTGAGATCACAACCCCACAACCTGCAGGAGACAGAAACACACAGAGAAGGAAACTAGTAATTCTTTCACTGATGTCAGCGTCTGTCTGGAAAGGGATAGTTCATTCAGAAGAGACCAGTCACGGGGCTCTAGCAGGAGGCTGTGGGACTGTTGACACCAACGACCCCTGTGTGGATTCCTGTCCACAAAGGAACGTTCAGATGAGCTGAAGGGAGGGCAGCAGCCTGCAGGGGTGTTTGTAATGGGCTGGAGAATCCTAACAGGCACTGAGTAATAGTTCAAACCCTTTCCCAGTGCTTGTACTCAAGCTCCTTTCTGCTTATGCAAATTCAATCTAAAGCTGCTGTGTGAGCTCCTCTGCCTCCCCCAAAACATTCCCCCAGTGCCTAAAACTACACCTATATCATCACTGCAGTTACCCCAGCTCTGGATGTCCAGTTCTGGGAACCCAGGTTAGCCAACCACGGGCATTGAGTGTCCACGCTGCTAAGCCACACTCGAGTCATACCTCTGCAGCTTTGTCCACACTGGCGCTGCCCTAACCCAGGTCAGGTGCCAGGACTTCTGGGGGCATATCCCATGGTTCTTAGCACTGTACTAAACTGCGCCACTCTATGGTGTGAGCCTCTGGCCAGCTAGTAGTATGCTGGGGTGAGGCTCTCCCAGACAGCAGTACAATTCAAGTGCTGTGTAAGACATAGCAGGCTGCATGGAATGTGGGGTTTAAACACCAAACTGGTGTATCCAGGCTGGTTAGTCTCTAAGGTGCCACTAGTACTCCTTTTCTTTTTGCAAATACAGATTAACACGGCTGCTACTCTGAAACCTATGCTGGGAGGTATCTTCTGGTGTAGAAGACGGGCATAGGTAGACAGGCAGGAAAATATGGCCCTGAGGGAACTGTGGCAAGGCAATGGAGGACTGTCAGCACCTGGGTTAAGTAACCTAGGTTCCAACCTGCATCCACGTGCAAAGTGGGTTGGTTTCAGCCTGAGTTAATGTGGAACCTGAGCTCCAATCTATACTCTAGACCAGTGGTCTCCAAACTGTGGGGCATGGAAGAATGTCCTGGGGGCACGGTGAGGCCCATGCCAGCCCACATGGAGTGATGGGGAAAGAGTGCCACCCAGCCCCACCGTACCCCAGCTCCACTCTGGCCTGGCCCCGAGCCCAAGCTGAGACCCCGGCTCCACTCCCGGCAGCAGCCTGGCCCCCAGCTTCTGGCCCCCATTCTCGGCAATGATTCCATTCTCTGGGAGAGCGCAGAGACATTCCATTACTGGTAAAGGGGGTGGAGGGTGCAAGAGGAAATGTTTGGGCACCACTGCCCTAGTCAAATAAGCTAGCCATGGCTTACAGCACTTCCAAACCTGGGTCAAAGGCTTTTGTCTGTGGACAGCAGAGGACTTAGGGCTAAAGCCTTGGTAACAGCCCAGGTTAACTCTGCAGTAACCACGTATCCTATCAGCCAGGGCATGTGGGAGCCAAACCCCTTCCAAACTGGAAGACTGGTGACATTTTTTCCTTGCAGCCAAACTCCAAGCTACGTATATTTCTGATAATAGAACACACCCTGCTCCCAGCCCACCTGTTTAACACAACTGTTCCCCAAGAGACTTTCTGGGTCTGTAATAAATGACTTCCTTCCCTTGCCTGCATCAGAACCACTTACAAAGGGTGGAGGTGGGGTTCACAATGCTTATAAAATGAAGGAATTCACAATGAATCTGACTTGTGCTCCTTGTAAGGTTCCAGACCTGGGACACATGATCTCACTGCATGATGGTATGCACACTCCACAATCAAAAAAAATCCCTCTAACGGGAGCATGTTTCTTGGCCGATTGAATTGCTATGGGAAGTCTGTAGTTAACCTCCATGGCTGAACCCTTTAACTTGCTACATATAAAAGAAGCCTGGTATTGACCACAGAATATATTACTGGGTCATTCTGGGACACTCAAGATGACATGAAGGAAATTCCTTAGTTTTCTATGTACCACTGCTAGGAGTCTGGGTAATAAATAGGAGGAATTGGAAATGCTCGTGTGAGAAACTCTGTCGTAGTTGGTATTACTAGAACCTATGGGAGGAGTCACATGATTAGAATGTTTAAATTAGTGACTACAACCTATTTAGTAAGGATAGGAGAGGATAAAAGACAGGTTAATGGCAATTAATATAAATCAGAAATTAAGAAATGCAGGCAATTGATAAGTGAAGCTAAAAGTCTCAACAGCAAAAGCATCTATGGACAATATGGTTAAGAATAATGAAAAGGATATTTTTTAAAATATATCTGTAACAAAAGTAATCCTAACAATAGTGTAGGTTCATTACTAGCTGGAGATAGTAAAATTGTCAACAATGATGCAGAAAAGGCAAAAGTATTAAATATCTACTTTTGTTTTGTAGCTGACAGGAATTAGAGTCATAGGACTGGAAGGGACCTCAAGAGGTCATCTAGTCCAGTCTCCTGCACTCTTGGGAGGACCAAATATTATCTGGACCATCCCTGACTGGTGTTTGTCTAACCCAGGGGTGGCCACCCTATGACTCCGGAGCCACACGCGGCTCTTCAGAAGTTAATATGTGGCTCCTTGTATAGGCACCGACTCCGGGGCTGGAGCTACAGATGCCAACTTTCCAATGTGCCGGGGGGTGCTCAATGCTCAACCCCTGGCTCTGCCACAGGCTTGGGCCCCACTCCACCCCTTCCTGCCCCCTCCCCTGAACCTGTAGTGCCCTCGCTCCTCCCCCCAGAGCCTCCTGCATGCCATGAAACAGCTGATCAGGAGGTGCAGGGAAGGAGGGGGAGGCACTGATCAGCAGGGCTGCCAGTGAGTGAGAGGCACTGGGAGCGGGGGGAGGAGGGGGGGCGGGAGAGAGCTGATTGGGGGCTGCTGATGTATTACTATGGCTCTTTGGCAACGTACATTGGTAAATTCTGGCTCCTTCTCAGGCTCAGGTTGGCCACCCCAGTCTAACCTGCTCTTAAAAGTCTCCAATGACTGGGCTGTTGATAAGTAAATCTTGGGAAACTGAGGACGTTCCAGAGGACTGAAAGAAAGCTAATGCTGTGCTGATATTTTAAAATGACAAATGGAACGAACGGAGTCATTTGGCCTCCCATCAACCCAGGAAAAAATAATGGAACAGCAGAGATGGATCTAGTAATAAAGAGGTAAAGGACTGAATATCAATAATGGCAGTCAATGTAGTTCATGGAAAACAGGTTTGTCGGAGAGTCTGATTGATAAAGGTAACTACTGAGATGATGTACTTAGACTTCTGCAAGAAACCTGATTTATTAGCACATTGCATTTGGATTAAAAAAATAGCACTGTACAAAAATCAATACAACACCTATGAAGTGGATTGAAAACTGGCAGACTGATAGTTCTCACCCTATCCATGTATTGTAGGTGTTCCCTTTTTTCCTGCTGGTTAGAGACGGCCAAAATTTGACAGCCAGCCAGAGACTAGAACCGCCCCTCTGTGGAGCTCCCAGAATTCTCTGCCTGCACTCCTGGGTAATGGGCATACCAGGGGTCTCCTCTTTGTGGCAGAGTCTCAAGATCTTTTTAAATTGGATTCCACTGGAGGCTCATACAAATGACTCTAAACTGAAGTACACTATATTAAATTATAAAAATAGCAATGAGCAGGCTCCCTTTTGGTTAAGGGATTTTCCGAGCCAGTCTTGCATCTGCTCTGGCCACACCTCTCTTCCACAAGAGGGATCGTTTTGGGGGCAGTCAGTCTTTTCTCCTTTAACTCTCTGGTCATGGATGAGAGAGGAAAGAAGAGGGGCCATCAGTGCTCTGATGGTGGAGGTCTCTCAGAGCCAGGACCTCAAGGGCCCATTTGCCCCAGTTGTAGGTAAGAGCCTGCAGTCAAACCAGAGAGTGGTATAAGACAGGTCCCCCTGTTGTCCTCTACACATAGGGCACAGCCCCCTCAGAAGGCAGGGCTACAATGAAACAGTGGCTCAGCTTGTAGAGTGCCTGCCAGGCCATCTGGTGCCGGAGCTGCCGGTGGGCAAAGCAGATTTGGAGGCTCCCAGTACTGCAGCGAGCAGAGCTGGCTGAAAATTCTGCATTTACATTTTTTTTAAAATGGAAAATGGCTTTGTTCAACTACATAGAAATGTCCATTTTTTGTGAATTTATGTGTGTGTGTAACGGGGGGGGGGGGGGATTCACAACCAGCTGTTACAGTCAGCTCCTTCCTGTCTCTGAGGAGCACAGGCCAGCACCTCCTGCCCTCCCAACCTTACAAAGGACAGGCCAGAGGGTAAGTACCCAGCCATCCCTCAGTCCTCACACCATTCAAAGGGATCCTCATTCCTCTACAGTCCTGGGAGTTCCCCGAGAGATAAACCAAGGTACTAGCTTTGTCTCAGCTATTGCAAATGATGCCGTCCTCTGAAATATGAAGGCACGGGTGTCCAGCAGACACACACGTGCCCAAGGTCAGAGTGAAGGTTCGCATTATAGTGCGGTTGTGAGGAATGCAATGCGTGCGTTGCGTTACTGCACATGGCAGAGCATAGGACTTATGGAGGAGCAGAGTCTGGCAGTGGAAGTGGTGAATGTGTTTTGTGAGGGGTGACGATATTTAAATGGGATGTTTTCTTGTTTTCAAGGGTTTGTTTGCACATTTCTCTTGTGCAACACTTGTGGTTGGGTTTGAATTGGACCTTTTCTCAAAATAGACGCCCTAGTTCAAACGGGAATTAATTCAGGGAAATTCTCTGGCCTGTATTGTACAGGTCAGACTACCTGTCACAAGGTCCCTTCTGGCCTTCTAATCTATATGCATGAGGACAGATGCACGGATTTAGCTCCAGTACTTTTGGGTAAGACAATGCCAGTGTGGAGGGCAAAGCCTGAGTCCATTCAGCCGTGGCGAGTTGGACACATTGAATTGCCTGTGGTTCGCTCATTCAAAAAACCAGTTGAAACTCCAACAATACAAGTCTAGTGCATGAGGCCTATGAATCACCCACCAGACCAAGTTGTGGTTTTGAGGGTCAGGGAGCTGTACTGTCCAAAGGTTAATTTTACACTGAACATGAAAGACAAGGGGATGGGGTGACGCACTTTCAGAAAGGTCATTGTCCTATAGCAAGCCCATTGGGGAGCAGGGAGGAAAGAAACTGAGAGGAAAGAAAGAGACAGGGAAATGGGGGCATAGTGTGAAAGGGAAGAGAGAACTTGCATGAAGATCAGAGACCAGGTTGGGGCATTGACAGATGGGCAGCTTTGTCCAGCCAGGGGCTCAGAGGCAGGGCTTCTGACAGTTGTAATGGAGGTATATTTGATTGGTTGAAACCCAAAGATGTTTCCCCCGGTGAGCTGGAAATTTCATAGTTCCAGGCTCAGCCAAGCAATGAAAATGGAGCTGAATTTGGGGCAGATGAGGTACCATCACATTCCTGAGCTGTCTGACCATTTGGCATCACTGCCTCTCATGCCACCATCTGTGAATGACTCACTCCCAACCCTCCTCCAACCTATGAGGGATAAAAGGGGCAGGACTCTGCAGGGCCACACAGATGGGAGGCACCAGTGAGCTGTAGGTTTTGATCCTCAGGAGGAGACAGGAGGCAGCAGGTGTCCTGAGCAGAAGGCTCCCAGAGCACGGGGGAGGGAAGGAAAGTCAGTGAGGTGATGGGAAGAGAAACTACTGACAGATGGCTACTTTCCCTACAGAGAGGGGGGTTTTGATAGTAGCTGGTGGATTCTCTTTTCTGCAGGCTGTGTAATGGAGATGAAATGCACCTTATCCTCAAGAGGGAAGATAAGGAAGAGGCACTGATGGTGAGAATAAAAGAAGAAATAAACTAGCCCGGAGTTGAATCCCATCCATCTACACACAGATAGGCAGAGTTTTGAGGCTTCCCTTGATGGCTGAAGGGGAGAGATGGTGACAGAAGCAGCTCAGCCCTCCAGGATGTGGATCTGATGTTCTTGGGGGGGGGGAATTGGGATCCCTGCATTAGGGGTTAGTGGCACTAACCCCAAACCTCCAATGATGGACCTTAGCTGGGAGGCTGATTTTGCCATTCACTCTGCTTGTGCTTTTGTAGCTTTTCAAGAGATCTCAGCATCCACCGTGCAGGTCTCTGGAAAACTTGGGCAGAAGAGTGACAATGGGAGCTGCTGGGTTCTGAGCAATTCTGAAAATCTGGCCCAAATTCCCAGGAGCACCCCACACCAGGTAGAAGTTCAGTCACGAAAGAAGAACCACTGAGCAGACATGTACTAGAATAGAAAAGGGAGGAACCACAGCTTGCCCCAAAGGGTTTTGTGTTTTATAATGAGTACAACATTGGCCTCTGTTCTAACCTGCCCGGTTTGTTACTGTGACCACACCTCCCCACTCCCAAAGGGCTGCACTTTAAAGGGTATTTCTCCAAACTGGTGGCGCCTCTCAGCTGAGAGAAGCTTCCGCCCCATCTCTGTGAATTTCAAGGCAGGAGCTACCATGGCTAGGGCTGAAGCTCAGATCGGGAGGTTAAGAATCCTCCAGCTCCTGGAACCTCTTTTGCCTTAATAAATTTTAAATCAATGTCAAGGTGTCAAAAGTCATCAAAGTTCTCTACAAAACAGGCCGCTAGCTGAAGGGGAAAGACTGCGCTATTTTAAAGCAAATGCATTTTAGTAAAGAGTTGTTTTAAAAAAAAATCTATTTATTCGCTAAATATCAGGGGGCTGTGGAGCCAGCTTCTGGTGTGGGCCCTGCTTTACTTAAAAATTTCTATTTTCCAAGCAGGGCATTCCAGTGCATGTTGTGAGCCAATGACGCAGGTGCTGGAGAGACACTAATCTCTCAGCATCTCCATGTAGCTGCAGGGAGCAGACATCAGACACCAGCCACACACCCTGCCAAGCGCTTTACACAAAAGGACACCTGTAAATGCACAGAGGAGGCCAAATGTTACTTACCCCAGTTTCTGCAGTTTGCAATTTGGGTGTTTCAGTCCCTCACACAGCAACTGCACTCCAGAATCTCTTAGATAGTCAATACCCAGCTCCAGCTCTGTCAGGCTATCACTGATGCTGAGAACAGCTGCGAGATCCTCACAGCAAGCATCTGTGAGAAGGAAATTTTTCAACCTGCAGGAGAGAGAAATGCAGAGACAAGCAATCACTGTGTGAATGGGGCTTGTCCCAGCTGTTATGACAGGTGGCCCCACACACCCACCCACTTCTCTCCCGGACCAATCAGCATTGAGAATGAGCCAGAAGCCCTGCCTCACACCCTGTCCCAAGCCTCACCCCTAGTCTAATGAGAAACCAGTGTTGGGTGGGACTTCCTGCATAAGCCTGGCTCCATGCATTTCACCCTGACTGGACCGCCCTGGGAATGAGCCAGACATTCAAGCCCCAACCCTCTGCCATCGACCAATGAGGAATAAGGGGTGGGGAAAGACTAAGCACCACCCCTAGTCCTTTCCACTGACCAACCAGAATCCAGGATGGCCCCTGCACTCCCATCTGTCAGAGTTTTAGAGTAACTGCACCTTTGATCCCCTCTGTGGTCTGCTCAAGGAAAACTCCCTCATGCTTCTAGCATTCACCTCTCTCTCGGCAGGGACCCAGGCCCTATTCCCTTCTGACTGGGAGTTTAGCCTGGGGCAGCCACACTCTGATTATCCCCAGAAGGTCTGACTAAGTGCAGTCCCTGGACTTTGCTCTCTTTCCAAAGCCTGTAACTGTGGTTTACTAGTGACCTACCCAGCACTCTCAAAGCAGAGTGCAATTATTTAAGGACAAAAACATACAGAGAAAACATAAAACAATAACAGGATTTAAATGCTCCCTCCACCCCACATCACCTCTATGGAGACCCAGGCAGGTTCCAGTCCCAACAACCCTTCAGCAGGGTGGGGTCTTCCCTTGGAGAAAAGGTCACAGCCATTTGTCAAATCAAAAAAGAGGACCCCTCTGTCAAGATCAACTTAGCCTTTTATACCAAACCTCTTGCTTTGCCCCCGCTCCCAGAGTCTGATTAGCCATAGAGCAAATGGCCCTGCATAATTATTAGGTCCCGCTGGAAGGCAGGCATGGGATGCCTACAGAAGGCTGTGACACATAAGAGCCTGCTGTCTAATTGGACAGCCCTTGAGCCTCTGTGGAGGATGCAATTAACTTGAGCTGGTCTGTAGGCTTGGGACAGAACACAGGAAGGCCCAGAGATGCCCATTTGGGAAGATTTTCACAGGAAAAGCAAAAGGCACATCTAACAAAAAGGCTGCGCCCTGCTAAATGTTGAGTCCTTTCTCCAACGTAAGGGTGGTGGGGGCGAGATCTCCTCAGCAAAATAGCTGGTAAAAATGTATGTTCACCCTAATCTTGTTCTTGGAAGCATTTGCGCTGTTGAGCTTAAATTTACTAAAAAAGTTCAGCCTGAAGCAGACACCCAGTATGGAAAATTTCCATCCAAGCAGTTAGAGTTCAGCCAATTTATAAGCAACTGAAGACAGACTTACAATAGGAAGTATCAGGCAAACTTAATAATAGGTGATACTACCAGCACATGAATTCAATTACAGGCAAAACACTTATTCCTCAAATTCAGAGGAAGAGGAGGAGTTTGGAGGTAAAGCTCCAGTCTGGCCCCATCTTTCTTTATAGCTTCAAGTGTACAAACATGACAGGCCAGCGGGATGTTGTCAACAACTGACACATGAGGTGCTGCAGGCTGAGTCAGCTGTCAGCCTCACCATTTACTCGCTGGGAGCTGACAGTCTCACACCATCGGCACAGCCTGCTGAGTTCTTTACAGAAAAGGAACCTGTAAACACTCACCCCAGTTTCTGCAGCTTGCAGTTTGCATGCTTCAGTCCCTCACACAGCAGCTGCACTCCTGAATCTCTAAGGAGGTTCCCCCTCAGCTCCAACTCGGTCAGCGTCTGGTTGATACTGAGAACAGAGGAGAGATCCTCACAACAAGCAGCTGTGAGCTGGCAACCCATCAACCTGCAGGAGACACATAAACAGAGGGAAATGAGCACCTCTGTCTGTCCTGTTCCCTCCTTGGGTTTTTATAGCAAGATTCCTTTATTCCGTGAATAAAATCACAGAGCTGCAGCAGTGGTTGCTGAGGACCATGTGAGGATTTCAATCCATGTGCAGCTGCAGCTCTCATTGATCCTGTATTCCACATATGAATGTTATTCTAAGGCAAAGTTCCCAAACTCCATCCCCTGAGCATAAGCACTGTAGCTTCTGCTAATGAAGAAACATTAAAGGAGGAGCCAGAAGAGAGGGAATAAAGGGAGGGACAAGATTCTCATTGGAAAATAATGCAACTGCTCCTGCAGTCAAAGCTATACTTTAGTTTTGCAGACGTGGGAAGCCTGTTGTTCTCTCTTGCTGTCTCATTTCTACTTAGGATTCAGCCACGAAGCCAGCCTCTATGGAGTACTTAGTTCTGAACATTCAGAATTCAGGGATGGGCTCAGTTTTGCTGAGGGTCAGGTCCCCCCATCCCTATCCCATTTTCCCTAGGTTTGACCATACACTAGAAATGGCTGGAATTTCCATAGGGAGCCCAGTCTCGCAGGCTGGGCCTCCAATTAAATTGTTACAGTCTTTCACCATTGCAGACCCACTGTTGTGACAGCAGCATCATGGGAGTGACTGTAGAGGCGTCAGAAATTTGTGAAGAGCTAAAAAGTGGGATAAAATGAGCCCAGAGCTAGTGTCTGTGTTACATATGGGCTCATAATGCTAGAGACAGACTGATAGGTGCCTCACAACTTCCCTCAAGAAAGCTCAAACGAACTTCCAGTGATGGTCAAAGCCAGATCCATGGCTGGTGTAAATCAGTGAAGCTACTTTGAAGTCAGTGGAGCGATACTGATTTGTACCAGCAGAAGATCTGGTACCTAGTGTGGAAATTCACTGGCCATAAACTCCCTGACATGTAGTGTGAGTCACAATTTATCAATGGATGAAAATATACATGGATTGGTGTAGGAAGTGAAGACTGGGGAGGGAATTACAAAGGAAGCCAGTGGCTGCTGATGCTAATCTTTGTATTTTACAGTTGGGATGTTTCAGCCTCTACAAAGTGGTGTCACTCCTGAATCCCCTTGGCTGAGACTGGAATTCCTTCTCTGGGACTGAAGGTAAATGTCACACGCAAAGTACAGCTCAGACAGTGTGCAGCAGCCAAATTATCTGAGCATATCACACCATGACTCTCAAACTGTACCAAACCCCCATGAGTTTCAGGATATCATTCCAAACCCTAGCAGTAGCCCTGATTTACAAGACTCGTAATAGCTCAAGGTGAGGCTGTCTCAGAGACTGTTCACCCACCCGTGATCCACCAACCTGACTACATTTTCCAGGGGCACTACAGCTAACAAAGTCCAGGTCAGACTCCCAGGGGCACAGGCAGAGCATTCTCAGCAGCAGGCCCCAGCTGGGGAGCGCTTTCCCAGGGAAGATCAGACTGAGCCTGGCCCTGTCCATGTTCAGATCTAAATGCCAGACCAGCCTCTCTGATCCCTTACAGAGACCGGCGTTCAGGTAGCTCCAATTGCTGCCCAGCACACAGCCTTCCAAAATGTGGAGTGGCACAGGCTCATACTCCAAGTTCAGAAAACTAGTTAAGTTTCCTCTGCCCCATCAGGAACAGGAGGGGCAAACCCCCAAGGTCAGAAAACCAGGACATTTCCCCAAGGAAAAGCAAAGCATCTTATACAAGGACAAATACGACGTTTACATTTCATAACCTGGCACAGCGGCCCTGTGTGCATCATCAACTTGACAACGTTACCTGTTATGGAACATTTCGCAAGTACTTCCCCCCGGCCCCTTCCAAAATATGAAGCAGCAGTGACCTCTAGTGACTGGCCAGAGGAACTACACTCCCTGCCTTCACTGGATTCCATCTGCAGTAGGGACAGGAGTCACAGGGTTGCCAAACCAGGGTCAGATGAGATACCTGACACTTGGCTGCCCTGTGGTCTGTACATAGTGGTCAGTGATGTCGCCTTGCTGCTGGGGAAGTGCCTTTCCCAAGAGATACTGCTGCCTGGATCTCTGTATTTTTTTAAAAAGTTGCGTCTGACTATTCACAGCAGCTTGCAGTCTGAAATCCAGCAGCCAATGCTCATGCAGCTGCCCCAGTCTGAGACGGGTTGGTCCCCAACTCACCCGAAGATCTCTTGAGAAAGGGTAAAGCCTTCCAGAACACCAATACAAACTGCCCATCAGTAGGCTCCCCCCGCCATCAAGCCCCCCCCCCCCCTTCTTGGTCACAGCAGCAGATCAGCCCCCAGTGCCCAGGCTGGGCCTGGCAATTCCTTGGGGCAACATGTTAGAGGCCCCCCTAAACCTGTCCGTCAGTGTTGGAAAGTGAATGTGATGTTGCAACTCACCCTACCCCAGTTGGAGGTCGCTGAGCAACAGGATTCTCGGGGGGATCATTCATCTGCTCCCACTGCCATTCCCACTTGTAGCAGAAAGGAGAAGGTCGCTCTCACCGGTTTCTCTGCAACTCCATTTGCTCCCAGGAAAATCTGGAAGCGCAGCTATCTCCTCCTACAGTTCTCTGCCAAACTCCCTTTCCAAGTGAGAGACTGAAGAGGCTTCATTCAGTGAAAGGTTTCAGTTCACTTCTGCCCCCAGATGACAAGGATCTGACACAGAGGAGTGCTGGAGAGAAACTGTTTGCTATTTCCTGGCCCTGCCTAGTCCCATGACTTGGATCAATGTGATAATGGCCTGTCACATGACAGAGGACACCCACATACTGCTACCTTAGTAACTAGAAACATTTTTCTATTCCCGGAGGGGCCTCTTGTCAAGGGTATTTCTACAAACTGGTTGTTTCTCTTGGCTGAGCCTTGCTTCACTTCCCAGTGCGGGGACTTCACAGGCTAGAGCCACCTCAGCCAGGAGGAAGCTGACACTGGTGAATGGTGCAGTTCACACTGTGCTGGCTGCTCAGAAGATGAACAAAGGGAGGTGTAGCTCGTAGAGCGAGCTTGCTTGTATTGTATTCACTGCTTCACATTATATTCAGCAGTAATGCAAGGAACCTACAGGCCTGTGTCCTGTAAGACAGCAGTGTGCCCTTGTTGCCAAGAAAGCCAATGGCATTTTGGGTTGTATAAGTAGGAGCATAGCCAACAGATCGAGGGATGTGATTGTTCCCCTCTATTCGACATTGGTGAGGTCTCTCTGGAGTACTGTGTCCAGTTTTGGGCCCCACACTACAAGAAGGATGTGGATAAATTGGAGAGAGTCCAGCGAAGGGCAACAAAAATGATTAGGGGTCTGGAACACATGACTTATGAGGAGAGGCTGAGGGAACTGGGATTGTTTAGTCTGCAGAAGAGAAGAATGAGGGGATTTGATAGCTGCTTTCAACTACCTGAGAGGTGGTTCCAAAGAGGATGGTTCTAGACTATTCTCAGTGGTAGAAGACAAGGAGTAATGGTCTCAAGTTGCAGTGGGGGAGGTTTAGGTTGGATATTAGGAAAAACTTTTTCACTAAGAGGGTGGTGAAACACTGGAATGCGTTACCTAGGGAGGTGGTAGAATCTCCTTCCTTAGAGGTTTTTAAGGTCAGGCTTGACAAAGCCCTGGCTGGGATGATTTAATTGGGGATTGGTCCTGCTTTGAGCAGGGGGTTGGACTAGATGACCTCCTGAGGTCCCTTCCAACCCTGATATTCTATGATTCTATGATTCTAAGACATTAGCTTCAGCAAGTTAGCATAAGGCTTGAGGCCTAGGAACTCTGAACAGATAAACGGCCCAACAGAAACAGGGAGCTGTAAATAGAGTATTTAAGGGGGATTTCTGACCACAGGAACACGGCCCAACCACAAGAGTGTTATGGCAATGAACTGACATACATAACAGGTACATGAGCTACATCCACAGACACCTAACCAAAAGAGGGCCATGGTAACAAATTGACCTATGTGATAAGCTGAGATCACTGATATACTGACTTACAGGAGAAGGATACTCCAACATTAGCAAGGTGAGGAAATACAAATGAGGAAAAGGGGGAAAAGCCTTGCATCAAACATAGAGGCATCAGCGTAACATCATATAAAAGTTGCATCCCAGCCTAGGGGCAGTAGGAGAAGGAGATGTAGCTCTTCGGAGGTGCCAGAATGATGGCCACTGATGATGAAGGGGAAGGTGATGGTGATGAGGAAGATGAAAATGAGGTAGGATCAGAGTCTAAAGTAGGGAAAGAACAAGTCAAAAATTACTTAGACAAGTTAGAAGTCTTCAAATCACCAGGCCCTGATGACATGCATCCTAGAATACTCAAGGAGCTGACTGAGGAGATATCTGAGCCATTAGCAATTATCTTTGAAAAGTCATGGAAGACAGGAGACATTCCAGAAGAATGGAAAAGGGTAAATTTAGTGCCCATCTATAAAAAGGGAAATAAGGACAACCTGGGGAATTACAGACCAGTCAGCTTAACTTCTGTACCCAGAAAGATAATGGAGCAAATAATTAAGCAATTAATTTGCAAACACCTAGAAGATAATAAGGTGATAAATTACAGTCAGCATGGATTGGTCAAGAACAAATCATATCAAACCAACCTGATAGCTTTCTTTGACAGGCTAACAAACCTTGTGGATAGGGGGCAAGCAGTAGATGCGGTATATCTTCACTTTAGTAAGGGTTTTGATACTGTCTTGCATGACCTTCTCATAAACAAACTAGGGAAATACAACCTAGATGGAGCTACTATAAGGTGGGTGCATAACTAGTTGGAAAATCGTTCCCAGAGAGTAGTTATTAGTGGTCCACAGTCATGCTAGAAGGGGATAATGAGTTGGGTCCCGCAGGGATCGGTTCTGGGTCCAGTTCTGTTCAATATCTTCATCAATGATTTAGATAATGGCATAGAGAGTACACTTATAAAGTTTGTGGATGATACCAAGCTGGGAGGCATTGCAAGTGCTTTGGCGGATAGGATTAAAATTCAAAATGATCTGGGCAAACTGGAGAAATGGTCTGAAGTAAATAGGATGAAATTCAGTAAGGACAAATGCGAAGTACTCCACTTAGGAAGGAAAAATCAGTTGCACACATACAAAATGGGAAATGACTACCTAGGGAGGAGTACTGCGGAAAGGGATCTGGGGGTCATAGTGGATCACAAGCTAAATATGAGTCAACAGTGGAACGCTGTTGCAAAAAAAGCAAACATCATTCTGGAATGAATTAGCAGGAGTATTGTAAGCAAGACACAAGAAGTAATTCTTCCGCTCTACTCTGCACTGATTAAGCCTCAGCTGGAGAATTGTGTCCAGTTCTGGGCACCACATTTCAGGAAAGATGTGGACAAATTGGAGAAAGTCCAGAGAAGAGCAACAAAAATGATTAAAAGTCTAGAAACACATGACCTATGAGGAAAGATTGAAAAAATTGGGTTTGTTTAGTATGGAGAAGAGAAGACTGGGAGGGGACATGATAACAGTTTTCAAGGATGTAAAAGGTTGTTACAAGGAGGAGGGAGAAAAATTGTTCTTCTTAACCTCCGAGGATAGGACAAGAAGCAATGGGCTTAAATTACAGCAAGGGCGGTTTAGGTTGGACATTAGGAAAAACTTCCTAACTGTCAGAGTGGTTAAGCACTAGAATAAATTGCCTAGGGAGGTGGTGGAATCTCCATCATTGGGGATTTTTAAGAGCAGGTTGGACAAACCTGTCAGGGATGTTCTAGATAATACTTAGTCCTGCCGTGAGTGCAGGGGACTGGACTAGATGACCTCTTGAGGTCCCTTCCGGTCCTATGATTCTATGATGGCTCACATTTCAGGTTGTTCTACAATGGATGGTGTGAGTAAATGGATGTACAGATGTACATTCTGTAGAATCCTGAGCTGGATATGTTTGTGACTGTGCTAAATATATTAATAAACTATTTGTAAATATAGAGGAGTTCCTGTAGTGTGAGTGTTGCAGCTGTGCACATCGGAGTTTCCCATTATATAATGATTTGAATAAATACTGGGCCTGATCTTGGGACAAGATACTGTCAACCCTCAAAGTGATAACTGGGGATTATATTTATATTTCCTCTATAATCTATAGATCGGGCTACAGAGGGGACAGCACAGGAAGCCTCTCTCTCCTTGCCCAGCTGCAGCCCTCGCGCTCCCCTGAGCACAAGGTCCGATCCCTTCTTTGCTCTTAGGGGCAAAATAAACAGCTAAGCAACCAATGAAGAGTAGAAGGGGGCCATGATAAAATCCCACAGTGCACTGGCCAGGACAGGCAGCTGGGCAAACAGAAGAACAAATGGTAGCTCTTGAAGAGGGTTTAGCTACAGACAAATCTTCCTGACCCCTTGGCATGTAAAGGATATGTGTAACACACACACCTCTTGGGTGTGGTGTTCTGTCCCATCTAGTGGCACCGAGATCCCTGAAAGAGAGAGATAAAATGAGTCTGCCCTACAGCCTTAGCTAAGAAGCAGGTGGCTTTTAGCTCACGTAGTAAAGGCTCATGCTCTAAGCTCCAGAGGTCCCCAGTTCGATCCTGCCCGTCGGTGACCAGTGTCTGTCAGTGTTACAAGTTGGGGCTCATCCAGGATTCCAACTGGGAAGTCTCTGAAGCTCGGGACATGCTTCCTCAGCTAGGGGAAGTATGTAACCCACACACCTCCTGGGTGTGGTGTTCTGTCCCCTCTAGTAGCACCGAGACCACTTAAAGAGAGAGCAATTAATAAGTCTGCTCTACAGCCTTAGCTAACAGGCAGTTGGCTTTTAGCTCATGTGGTAGAGGCTCACGCACGAATCTCCAGAGGTCCCCAGTTCAATCCTGCCCACTGATCACCGGTGTCTGTCAGCATTACATGTGCAGGAAAAATTCTTCCTCTCTGAAACAGTGTCCCTCCCAGGTTTCAGAGTAGCAGCTGTGTTAGTCTGTATCCGCAAAAAGGAAAGAAGTACTTGTGGCACCTTGGAGACTAACAAATTTATTTGAGCATAAGCTTTCGTGAGCTACAGCTCACTTCATCGGATGCATGCAGTGGAAAATACAGTGGGGAGATTTTATATACAGAGAGAACATGAAACAATGGGTGTTACCATACACACTGTAACGAGAGCGATCAGGTAAGGTGAGTTATTACTAGCAGGATGGGGGGGGACACCAAAACCTTTTATAGTCACAAAGTTCAGCCACCAGGTTTGCCGTGACATTATCAGGGATACTGTTCCTGACGGCTTGTAGTCCATCTTTGTGTGTACCACTGTGTATGTACATTGGCCAAACACTTTGTGTGTATCTCTGCCATGTACATTGGCCAAACCGGACAGTCTCTCCGTAAAAGAATAAATGGACACAAATCAGACATCAAGAATTATGACATTCAAAAACCAGTCGGAGAACACTTCAATCTCTCTGGTCACTCGATTACAGACCTAAAAGTAGCAATTCTTTAACAAAAAAATTTCAAAAACAGACTCCAATGAGAGACTGCTGAATTGGAATTAATTTGCAAACTGGACACCATTACATTAGGCTTGAATAAAGACTGGGAGTGGATGTGCCATTACACAAAGTAAAACTATTTCCCCATGTTTATTTCCCCCCCTACTATTCCTCACATGTTCTTGTCAACTGCTGGAAATGGCCCACCTTGATTATCACTACAAAAGGTTATGGGGATTTTTTGTTTTGTTTTTTTCCCCTCTCCTGCTGGTAATAGCTCACCTTACCTGATCACGCTCGTTACAGTCTGTATGGTAACACCCATTGTTTCAGGTTCTCTGTGTATATAAAATCTCCCCACTGTATTTTCCACTGCATGCATCCGATGAAGTGAGCTGTAGCTCACGAAAGCTTATGCTCAAATAAATTTGTTAGTCTCTAAGGTGCCACAAGTACTCCTTTTTATCCCTCCCACAGTTCCCCCTGAGGCAGACAGATGAGAGATTTAGGCTCCTGATCTCCTTGGACCTCTTGTGTTTCTATTAGTTTGAAATCAAAATAAATGTAGTCTTGTTTAAAGGTGATTAAACAGGTGTTTAAAAGAGCCTGCTTCAATTTTTATTGAAAAAAATACATGCTAGTGGAAATCACTCATTCCTCATGTTCAGGGGAGTTTGAACTACTGCTCCAGTTTGGTCCCATCTTTATTAATAAATTCTGTTCTCCAATCGCAATAGACCGTAGGGATATTGGGAGCCACTGAGACAACAGGTGCTGGAGGGACACTCAGCTTTCAGCCTCTCTGTGTTCCTTCAAGGACCTGACATCTTCCACCATCCATTCCCCCTGCTGAGTTCTTTCCAGCAGGAAGATGTGTGAATACTCACCTCAGTTTCTGCAGTTTGCAGTCGGGATGTTTCAGTCCTTCACACAGCAGCTTCATTCCTCCTGCCTCTCCCAGGTTGTTCAGCACAAGATCCAACTCAGTCAGGGTCGGTTTGGCCCTGAGAACAGAGGAGAGATTCCCACAGGAACTGGCTGTCAGACCACAATTCATCAACCTGCAGGAGACATAATCAGAGAGGGAAATGAGCACTTCTGTCTGGCCAGTTCCCTCCGTGGGTTTCTAGAAAGAGTCCTTTATTCTGGGAATAAAATCACCCTGCTGTAGTCGTGGATGCTAGGGATCACATAAGGATTTCAGTCCACATGCAGCTTTAGCTCTCAGTGGGCCTAAGAGTGAGAGAATTGTATGATTCCACCAGAGAGAGATGGAGGCCCGGGACCTGAGGTGGGTGCACCCAGAGAGACCCGAAAGGGGACAGGGGTGTAGCTAGCCCTGTAACTGTGACACAGGATTGAATATGTCCACTGCAGCCTAGATGTTGCTCACCAAAGTCTGAATTTGGCCTTTCACAAGGTAGCATTCTAGATACAGGGTTTCCTCTTTCCCGATGGCAGGCTATAAGCCACTGGACAGACTCAGAGCTGGAGTGGAAAAATGAAGTTATTTCAAGGTGCTCGAGGGGAAGGAAAAGCACAGAAAGCCTCCCTCTCCTTGCAACCCGCACTATGGCTGTACCCTTGCATTCCCCTGAGCCAAAGGTCTGATCCCTTCTCTCTCCACTGTGATGCAAAAGTAGAACCAAAGCAGGCAAGAGCAGAACAGAAGGGGGCATGATAAAGTCCTGCGACTCACTGGCCAGCACGGCTGGCTGTACAAACAGAAGAACATGGTGCAGCTCGCAGAAGGATTTAGCTGCAGGCAAATTCCCCTGCCGGTGAAGGATGTGCAGGAAGAATTCTACCTCCCTCACACAGAATCTCTCTCACACCCTCCCTTAGGCAGGGCTGTAAGAGATTTAGGATTCTGAGGCTTTGTAAGGCCTCTTGTCCTTTCATTTGTCTTAAATCGCAGAAAATGTAACATTGTTTTAAAGATCGTTGTACGAATTGGTTGTTATCAAAGGGAGTGAGATCATGCTTTATTGGACTTACATTTTTAGTGAATATTACTACAACTTCGTCCTCAATTTCAGGGGAGGCGGGGTTGAACGAGGGCTCCTGTTTGGGCTCATCTTTCTTTATACGTTCCATTTTCCAAACATGAGGGGCCATCGGGATGTTGGGAGCCACTGACACGTCAGGGGCTGGAGGGACACTCAGCTTTCAGCCTCGCCATGAGCCTGCAGGGAGCTGACATTACACACCGTCCCCAGACCCTGCTGAGCTCTTTCCAGAAGAGAAACTTAGAAATACTCACCGCAGCTTCTGCAGTTTGCTGTGTGGATGTTTCAGTCCCTCACACAGCAGCTGCACTCCTGAATCCCCCAGGTTGTTCTCCCCTATGTCCAGCTCTGTCAGGGTGGGTTTGGTGCTGAGAAGAGAGGAGAGATCCCCACCACACACGGCCGTGAGATGGCAGTTAGAAAGCCTAGAGGGGACAGATAACCAGAGAGGGAAATGAGCACTTCGGTCTCAGTGGATTTCTAGGAAGATTCCTTTAATTTGGGATTAAAAATTACAGAGCTGTAGTAGTGGATGCTGAGGACCACATGACCAGGTGTCGGTTTCAATCCTAGGCATCTGTAGCTTTCATTGATCCTGTGTTCCATACATGAACATTATTCTAAGGCAAAGTTCCCAACCTCCATCTCCTGAGCAAAAACATTTGGGTTTCCCCTACTAAAGAAACTTTATTACACCTGATAGGACAGGAAGGGGAAGAAAGGGAGGGAAAGGAACCTCACTGGAAAGTCTATTGCAGTTTTGTGGATGGGGGCAGCCCATTCTTCTCTCTCTTGTGGCATCATTTCTACTTAGGACTCCGCAAACAAGCTGCCCTCTATGGGATACTCAGTATTGAACATTCAGGGATGGGTGAGTTTTGCCTTGTCTCAAGTCCCCGATCACTCTCCATGTTGCCTGGGCTTGACCACACACTAAAGGAGGCCTCAATTTCCCAAGGGAGGGCAGTCTCACGGGCTGGGCCTACAATGAAAATTGTTACCATCGTTCACCATTGCATTTCTACCAGTGGCAGACTGCCTGCCACATTCTTAACCATTGGAGCGCCTAGCCCTGCTCTTAGGGAAAATGCCACTGTCCGTTGTTAATACCTTTGCAGCTGCACTGGGAGTAGTGCCATTTTGTTAGTGAAATTTGAACAGAGCTCTGAGCAGACAATGTAATAAACAGTAACCTAAAGGTGCTTGTGGAAAATTCGTGTGTGTTGGACTCTGACAAAATGATGTGGAAGGGATGCGGCTGGAGAGAGATCAGAAGCTTAGGAGTTAAATTGCAGTGCATTCGGGAAGAACTGAAAGGGTAGATAGAATGACTGAGCCCTGATGTGTTGTACATGTTACGTACAAGTGCACAATACTAAGAAGAAACCGATAGATGCCAAATGAGTTCCCTTAAGAAACCTCGACTGAATTTCCAGTGATGCGCAAGGCAGGATGCTGAGATGGTGTAAATCAGACAAACTACTTTGAAGTTAGTGGAGCTTTGCTGATTGACAGCAGCTGAGGATCTGGCCCTTAGTGTGGAAACTAAGAAGCACTGGCCATGTGCTCCCTGATCAATCTGCCTCTTACACTCTGTGTGGAGGATCATCCACTCCCTTTCCAGCCAGTTGTCACTTATTTAGGAGTCAAACTGGACTGCAGGCTAACATCCATTGAAAGAAAAAGTTCACCTCCTGGGGAGAAGAGGCAAATGTTCTGCAAACTTCAGTCCTGGCTCTAGTGTTTGATCCGGCAGAATATTGTGCAGCAGTGTGGGGCAGGAATCAGCCCACGCATCTTGTTGATTCGGAGCTGAATACAGCCTTTAGTGGCCGCCTTAGCCATACATTCACATCTAATTTATATGGGTTGGCTCATATAGATTCCGCAAACTTTGACGATGCCATCACTCTTAAAACTGCCCGGAGGGCCATAACAGATGAAAATGACCTGCAGCATGCAAGGCTGACTATGCTTCAAAAGAGTGCAAATAAGCAATGCACACTTCCCGCAAGTAGATCTGCCCACCTCCAGAAGAAAATACCTACACCTCTAGCTCCTGCTGACTTGCCATGACCAACTTCATACTGCCAGCTTAATAGCAGGGCTGTCAGGAAGGGGGAGATTGCTTGAGATAAACACCTAACACCACACCCTCAAAGGACAATGCCAGAACTATTAGCCTGGGTGATACTGGCTCCCCCTCCTGCTGGGACACAATATTCCACTTTTACACGAGGGGACCATAGAAGGGTTTAAGGAGACATACCTAGGGAGCTAAGGCAAAGGGAAACAGAGGGTCACACCCTAGAATCTACTAGAGTGTCTGAGGAAGCTAGACCAGCCTAGATCTCCAGCGGAGACGGGGGTGGGAGTGATAGGATTCCGGGTAAGATAACTATGCATGTAGACTCTGATGTTTTGAAACCTTTTTTTTCCCTAAAAGGCTTTCTTCTTATTAAATAAACAATACTTGTGTTCTCAGAAGGCTGTTCTGGCCACTGGGTTTGACTAGTCAGAGACTCCCGAAGGGAAGAATCACAGGTGTTGAACCCACTTAGACCCGCAGGATAATCACAGTGGATACACAGGTACTGGCTGAACCGGTCAGACTTGCAGGGCCATCACAGTGAATACAAAGGGGACTGCTACCCTGGTCCTGGTCTAAGAGTGGGGAAGTTGCATGATTCCACCCAGAGAGAAGCAAGGACTAGGGGCCCAGGGCCTGAGGTGGGTGCACTCAAAAAGACCTGAAAGGGGACAGGGTGTAGCTAGCCTTGTAACCATGACATAGGCTTAGGTTTGTCCACTGAGGCCTAGATGTTGCTCACCAAAGGCTGAGTTTGGCCTTTCCCAAGGGAGTATTCCAAATACAGGGTTTCCTCTTTCCCTATGGCACAGTGTAAGCCAATGGGCAGACTCAGCAGCTGGTGAGGAAAAATTAAGTCCCAGCTACAACTCACTTCAAGTCCCTTTCATCGCGTCTTGCTTTATTGTGAAAAACAAGTTTTAAAAGCAAGAGGAAATCAACTCATTATACTGGGTAATAACTTCCCACGACATTGTCAGCTTGAAGGGTAAAGGACAGTGCCTCCCCATTAGATAGCTTCCTCCACACCTGCTTCCCCTTTACTTCCTTAACCCTGCCCAGATCAGCCATGGAACCTGGGAACCCCTTACACTGCAGACACCAAGCATGCAGCCTGCAGGAGGATCTGATGTGCATGATATATTTATGCAGCCCATATGACATTCTCAGATTCTCCAAAATCTAAGCTGCCATTTAAACAAAGTAAGTTTCTAGCCCTCATGGCAGCAGAGATCACCTTCTCAATGTGAATCCAGTGTAACACATACAATGACGTTTACCTGAGTTGGCAGACAGCCTGAAACAACAACGCGGGGGTCTGAACTCTCCTGTTGCCTGGTATTCTGACTGGAGTATCAACTTAGTTAATATTGACTCTGAACCATCATCAATGGGCTTTAAATCACTGATCATTTTGGTGGCTGGAAGAGGTAGGAAGGGGTGGGCATGAAACCCAGTAGCTTGTGGATTGGAAGTTGCTACAGAGAAGAAAATGCAGAGACATGGAACAGAGCAAACTCCCAAACACCAGCAAGAGGAAGAGAAACAGAAAGAAGGATGGAGAAGGAAGAGAAACCAAGGGCAGAAATGCAGTGACCTTAAAGGGGAGCAGATTTTCTCACTGATGAGGAATGTGGCAAGAAAGCGCAGCACAAATAATAAACAAAACAATTAGTTACTACATAAACCCATTTTGTCCCCTTGATTGTTGCTATCAGGGGAGGAGTCTATTGTGCATCACAGGGAGTACATTGTATTTATACCCTGGACTACAATTAACTATACAAATCAGGCCTCTTCCCTGAGTGAGTTTCACACCTCTGCCTTCGATGCTTAGATGCACAATATATGTAAAATAGTTTTAAAGATCATAAAGTGGTGTTTAAAATGGGCTTTTCCCTCAGAAGATGAGATTATGCTTCAATTTTTATTCAAAAATCCATTTCAGTGAAGATCACTTTTAGGGGAGTTTGGAATTAGTGCTCCAGTTTGGGACCATCCTTATTTATCACTTCCATTCTCCAAAAATGACCAGCCATCAGGCTGTTGGGAGCCACTGACACACCTGATGCTGGAGGGACACACAGATTTCAGCCTCTCCATGCTCCTACAAGAGCTGACATCACACACCATCCTCATGGCCTGCTGAGTTCTTTACAGAAAGAAACCTGCAAGTACTCACCCCAGTCTCTGCAGTTTGCAGGTTGGATGGTTCAGTCCTTCACATAGTAATCTCACACCCGAGTCTCCCAGGTTGTTCATTGACAGGTCCAGCTCAGTCAGGGTCTGTTTGGTACTGAGAGCAGAAGAGAGATCCCTATAACAAGCGTTGGTAAGATGGCCGTTAGTAAGCCTGCAGGAGACAGATAAACAGAGAGGAAAATGAGCACCTCTGTCTGTCCGGTTCCTCAGTGGGTACCAGTGTGTTCTTAGAAAGAGTCCTTTATTCTGGGAATAAAATCCACAGCATTGTGCTAGTGGATGCTGAGGATCATATGACCATTTGTAGGTTTCAATCCACATGCACCTGTAGCTCTCACTGATCCTTTGTTCCACACACGAATGTTATTCAAAGGCGAAGTTCCCAAACTCCATCCCCTGAGCAGAAACACTTGGGTTTCCCCTAATAAAGAAATTATTATCAATGAGGGGTCAGGGGACGGGAAAGAAAGGGAGCGAAAGGAATCTCACTGGGAAATAATGAACACACTGCTGGAAGGTATGTTACAGTTCTGTGAATGAGGGGGAGCCCATTCTTCTCTCTGTTGCATCATTTCTACTTAGGGCTCAGCAAACAAACCTCCATCTATGGGATACTTAGTGTTGAACATTCAGGACTCAGGGATGGGTTCCATTTTGCCAGCTTTTCAGTCCTCTCTCCCTCTCCCATTTTTTCTGGGCTGGACCATAGACTAGAAAAGGCTGGAATTTCCCTAGGAAGCCGAGTCTCATAGGCTGGGCCTACAGGGCATGTCCACAGTGCAATAAACAACCCATGGCACGGCTGCAGCTGGCCTGGGCCACCTGACTCAGGCTGGCAGGGCTTGGGCTGCAGGGCTATAAAACTGCACTGTAGACATTCAGGCTCAGGCTGGAGCCTGGGCTCTGAGACCCTCCTGCCTTGTGGGGTCTCAGAGCCCGGACTCGTACACTGCAATTTTATAACCCTGCAGCCTGAGCCCCACCAGCTCGAGTCAGCTGACCTGGGCTCTGAGTCTCGGTCCCACCGGGTTTTTTGTTGTTGTTGTTGCATTGTGGATATACCCACAATGAAATTGTTCTTATAGTCTCTCACCATTTCAACTCCCTTGGTGCAGACTGCCTGCCAGTGTTATTAACCACGGTGTCACCTAACCATGCTCTAAGTAAAAATGAGGGTGTCTGTTGCTACCTGCAGGGGCACTGCACCCGCAGTAGCGCAATGATAGGAAATTATAACAAAGAGACCACATCTTCCTCCATTGGTGGACACCAGACGTCTTTGCCACCCATCTGAACAAGAAGCTACTAGCCTTCTGCTCATACAGATTTTTTCTTTCTGAAACTTTTTAGTAAGGCAAAGTTACAATAAAATACCACATTGTACATTGCTTATTACTTATTCAGGATCCGGTTAATATTCATAGAATCTGGTTAAAGACTCTGGCTTGCTGGTTGGGGAGTTCTCCTCCTCTGAGTATGCTAAAAAGGGTAACCAAATTTCTAAATGCCTATCCTCTTTTTGGCCTCTCGCTTGTGCACGTATTTGATCTGAAAGCATTTCCAGTGCAAGGACAGCACATATTTTACTATACCACAATTCCATAGGAGAAGTCCTACAATTTTCCAATAATGTGCAATACAAAGTCTTACTGCTAACAATAAAAAAGAAATTAATTTGTTTTTCAGTTTAAAACATAGATCACGTACTGGAGCATTAATTAAGCAGGTCAGGGCATCTCCCAGGAAGCTGGCATTTTGTCATAAGATGAAAATCTTTAACAATTTCCTCCCAAAACTATCAAATTCTTGGACACAACAACCACATATGCAAGTATGTTCCCCTTTTCCTGCAACCCCTCCAAGAGAGCACCTCCTTAGTAGCAAAAAATATAATGGATCTTCACTGAAGCAACATGCCATGAATACAGTATTTTATAAAAAAAATTATTTATGAGCTACACAAATTGAAGATGTATATCCCCTTTGTCATATAGGGACCCGCTCATCCAGATCAATTTCTTTGTCCAAATCCTTCTCCCATATTTTCATCTGGGTTGTTTTCTCATCAAAATCTTTTTCAATCAAAATTGTATATGTCTTAGCAATTAAACCTTTTGTTCCAGCTTGCTCCTGGGGCAACTCCTGAAATTCGGTTAAAGGTCTAGATAGCGCAGTCTTGTAACTAGATTTTACAATAAAGTGTTCGACTTGTAAATATTGAAAATACAGGATTTTTACCTTATTACATATCTCTTGGTGTGATTTTAAATCAGGACCCCGGAACAGCTGTCCAAATTGAGTCATCTCAGCTCCTACCCACAATGAATAGTCACTTTGATATTTTCTAGGGATAATTTCCTGATTATTAATGACTATACCTAAGGAAGAGGGCCTTTCGCAACACAAATTTAAAAAAAAATTGTCCAAAGTGGCTAAGGTAGACTGGATGAATGGGTGACTTTTATTTTTGGTGACCTACATTTTTTCTTAAACCAATAATTACTATAAATAGCTGCGTCTGAGCTCCAGTCTTGTTCAAGTTTTACCCAATGTTCAGATGGTCTATTGTGAACCTAATTTATCATATATTTTCCATTGTGATGCATAATAAGAAGAAGACGACGAATTAGGGGGACACTAGTCCAATTCACTTTATAGACTTAAACAGAACTTTAGAACTCACCTTTTGTCTTTTATGTTTCCATATTAATTTTAATAGCACATCCTGCCATGTTTTTAATCTCATGTCAGGGATACCAACAGAGATCCACAGAAACAAAAATAATAACTTTGGGACGAAATTCATCTTTACCGAGGCTGCCCTACCTACCCAAGAAATTTCATATTAGTTCCATTCTTCCAAGTACTTTATTATTTTATTTCACAGTGGAGGATAATTTGCCTTTAAAAAGAATTTTTATGTTTCTCCACAATATTTATTCCTAAATATTTTAAAGATTCCTTAGTTCTTTTAAATGTATGTACCTGCCAACAGTTTGTTTTGACCCCTTCAGGAATATCAATTCCTAAAAATTTCAGATTTGTCATCCTTTATTTTGAAAACTGATACCTGCCCAAATTCCAAAATCAATTATCCTATCATTTTTAATGAGGCTTCTGGATCCTGCAAATACAACAAGACATCAGCATACAAGCTATTTTGTGTTTTAATCTAGGAGATGTTTTGATGCCTTTTCTAGGGGCTGTTTTTCACATTTATTGCAAATGGCTCCATTGCCAAAGCAAACAATAGGGAGGATAAGGAACAACCCTGTCTCATACCCCTAAACAAATTAAAGGGAGGGGAGTGATGACCATTAACCAAAGCAGACACTTGAGGATGAGAATGCAAGGCCAAAATGCCTGTAGAAAACTGATTTCCAAAACCAAACCATACCAAAATCTGCCTGAAGTACTCCCACTCCAGCCAGTCAAAGGCTTTCTCAGCATCCAAAGAAAGCAGCACACAGGAAGAATTGCTAGAATTAACATTATAGATCAAACTGAGAGTTCTTCTGATATTATCAGAGAGATGCCAGGAACCCTACTGGGACCTGGAGCTTTGTTGGATATTAAAGTCATAATTACAACTTCAAATTCCTCTGCAGCAATTCGCCTATCATGAGCTGCCCCATAATCCATTGAGAGTTGAGGTAGCATCACACTTCTCAAATATCTATTTATAAGTTCAGGGTTTGGCTGTTATGAAGTGTACTAACTATGGACAAGTTAGCAAACAATTCAGAGATCTCTTTGATGCCGGTTACCAAATCTCCCTTTTTATTTCTAATCAAGGGGAAGGCTGATTTCTGTTTTAACTTTCTGGGGAAAAGCCGATCAGCCTTATTGTCCTTTTCATAATATTTTTGTTGAATATATATAAGTGTTTACTCGGCTGTACCTGTTTGTAACAAGCTAATCTTCCCTCTTATCTCAATTATTTTCTTATACACTCTTGTATGTTCTGTCGATTTATGTCTACCTTCCAAAATAGAAAGTTTATTAACCAAACTCTCTTCTTCATGCTCTCTCGTCTTTTTGAGGTATGGTGCTTTATTTATAAGGCGCTCCCTCATTATCACCTTTTTGGCATCCCAGAACTCACTTTTATTGATCTCTTTCTAATTACTATATATACACACTTCTGAAAATTGTATTCCAGCTCTTTAATTCTAAGGGGGTCATATAACAAAGCTCTTTTTTTAATAAATTAGCCAAGGTCCTAGAATAAAAATCATATAAATACTGAAATAAGATCCATAAGTAGCAGAATATGTACCGTTCCCAACATCCAGATTCATCTCCTGCCAGACATTTTCTAAGTGATGCAACAAATTTGCACTTGCTTTTCCCAAAAGCCCTCTGGGTACATTTGATCGATCCAAAGTGGGATTAAGCACCTTGTTAAAATCCCCCCTAGAATAATATCCCCGTCCCTAAAACTTCATAAACCCCTAAAAAACTATTAACAAAGGAAGCTTGCCCTTGACTGGGAGCAGGTACATTGGCTAATGTGAGAAGTTTATCTTTCAAGGGCCCCTGAATTAAAATATATCTGCCTTCTGTATCTATGAGTTGTGCTGAAAAAATAAAATGGAAGCATTTAGCAAAGAATATTGCCATCCTTCTTCTATTAGATTGCCCTGGGGAGACAAGGTAGTTTATTATTTATCATCATTTTTCTTCAAGTGTGTTTCCTGTAACTAGATTACACTAGGAAAATCTTTTTTTCAGTGAGCAGAATACACTTCTCCTTTTTGTTGGACTGTTCATCCCCCTTAACATTAACAATCATTGCACAATAAACTCACCTATAACTCCCAAGCCTGTTCTCACCCAGTATATTACCCCAGCCAGATGCCATGTCCCCATTACATTTGTGCCTGTTCTTTAAGTAAGATATTTTAGATAGAGTTCACATCCTACACATAGTCATTTTAAGATTCACATACATCACTTTTCCTTTTTTTAACACCTGCATTAGTGTACCTTGACTCTGCATCTGATTTACTATAATTTTCAATTCTGCTCCCCAAGTTTTTAGTATAATTTTTCTGTTGAAACATATAACAGTATTTAACATGTTTCTGTTCTCTTATCCTCTGTTTCCCTCTCATTCCCCTCCCTATGCATTCTCCCACTGTCATCTGG